ATACCTTTACATGGTATTGATATCAGCACATTGATAACTCTAAAAAAGAGTTGTCATTTATGTTCTTTTACATAGGTTTAACTTGAACTTTAGCACTATTAGGAGCATATTAGGATCATTTGTATTTTTTTTGCATCATTTGCATCATGGGAGTTAGTTGAGAAACTTTGGGCTAATTTTGATAATTATTGACGAAAACTGGGACATTGATGTTGTGACAATGCTCTATGTTGTGAGACAATGTTGTATTGAATTGTTGAGTAGATTCTGCAACAATTGATGAATTAGCGGGCAGTTTTAGAAATTCTAGAATGGGACAACTGGTTGGATAGTTTTGATTTAGCAAAATATCACCTGAAACGTGAGCGTTTTAATTGGTTGAAGGTTTGAATTTCCAGCCTACAAATAGAAGAGGAATTTACAACATTTGGATGACTCTTTTCTTGCAACACCCTAAATTTCAGTTAGTGACCAAAACGCTTTAAAAAAAATTAGTGGCTAAAGTATAAATTTGGGAAAATTTTAGGGCCCGAGTGGTAACTTTCCCCAAAAATATGGTAATTTCCCAAAAATAAATTTTATTCCATAAATGAATAGTTCACCTCTGAGAATCACATTCTAATTGGAATTAGTTGGTTGATATGGAATTTGTGTTAAAAGCTATAAAGTGTTAAAGTCCGATAAAAATTCAGTAAATCAGATCGAATATAAATTTTGAGAAAATTTGATGGATATTAAATTAACATTAGAAATATTATTTCCACATTTTAAAATGATGTAAAAATAATATAGATCATTGGATTTGAGAATTTATTACCATGTTCAATTTCGACTGTTAGATGAAAATGGAAAGATTGAAATTTTGGGATTAATGGTACCAAATGATAGAGCTCATCGAATATAACAATTTTCTATTTCAGACTTTAATCCAAAAATAAAAGGAAATTGATATAAAATGAGAAATAAAATTTCTCTTACCTTATGCTAGGGTACATGGCCATGGAGGGAAGATGAGCAAAGTTTTCATGAAATTTCTAGTTAATTTCATGTTAATTTGTCATTTATTAAGCTTAAGTGAATTTAAAATTCATTTAATGAGAAATGATAATTTCACCCTTAATGAAACTTGACAATTACATCCATACCAAGCCACGTGTTAATTATCATCTTTCCAAAGTCAAAGATGAACAAATTATCTTACCATTTACAACTTTCCCATGCACTTTTCCAAAAAATTTAGGGTTTATAAACATGTTAGGGTTTTATGAAATGATGTTTGATTTTGAGGTTATTGATGTTGTAGAATCATTTTCAAGCTTGATTGATGATTAAAACCACTTAGAAATGTTTCTTTTAAATTCGGCCTAAACCCTAAGTTAGGGGAAATTATGATTTGATGAATTTAAGTTAGGGTTCAGATTGAAGAGGCTCTGAAATGATGAATAGAGGTTGATTTCATGCTTGAATCAAGTAAAAACCATAGAACCCTAACCCCTATATGATTCGATCCTAAGGAAGGAATTTGTAATTTTGTAAAAATTAGAGGACCTATATGTTAATTACAAAAAATTAAGGGGTTTATGTGAAAATGTTCAATGCAGGATGTATTTTGCTGGAATTTAATGTTAAAGTGTTTAATTTGATGTTAGAATGTGTAATTTGACTATTTTGGAAAGTTGACAAAGTTTGAGCACCAAATTACAAATATGGGAAAATTAGTGACTTAAGTGGTAATAGAGATATTGTTTACGTATTGGGTTGGAATTAAAAGTTGGAAGTTATGGTTATGTTAATTAAAGCTTGAATTGAAGTAAATGGCAAGGAACCATTTTGAGTAAAATGGAAAAGTTGAGAGGAATTCTAAATGAATTCATAATTAGTGGTTAAAATGTAAAGTTCGAAATTGTGTTGTACCTTAGTGATGAATTTGGATAAAAAAAGGGGACTTGAATGGTCAGCTTGAATTGATAAGGTTAACATTTATGTCGTGACATGAAATTTATATCGAATGAGCGTAAAAATGTTTTTAGGAATTTATTTTCTATTGTGTGCCTATGTTAGTGAAATTATAACATGTGGTTTGAAATGTATATGTGTATTATAATGATGTTCATATAGATTATGATTGAATTCAAGATCAAGCAACATAAAAATTAGGGATGAATGTGAATTTCTAAAGAAGGTTTGCAAGCTAAGGACATCATGTGAGTGCATATTTAAATTGTATTTAACGTATCAAGCAAACATTGGCTTGCGATGAGCCAGTGACGGAGTTCCTATGGTAAGAAGTGACTCCTAATGTTGTGTGACTTTATGATTCATGCATATATGTGCATTTGGTGAGCTAATATAATTAGTGAATAAGTTGAAAAATGCAAATTGGTGAAATCTGTCTAGATTTGTGATCTGAATAGTCAGTTTATAAAATCACCATAAATTCTAAAGAAGTTATTAAAGGATAATTTTTATACATTTGGATTATTATATCAGTATAATTTTGTTTGAAATAAACATCTACTGATTTATATGAGTATACAAAAAATATATGAATTTTTAAGCCATGATAGGGAAGAAAAAGGGCAGTAAATTATGCTTGAAAACAACTTCTGTAAGTCAATTTTGAAAATTCACTATAAATTGTACGAGTTGAACTAAAAGAAGTTCCTTATATGTTTAGATTAATATTTGAGTATAGTTTCCATAGGTGTAAACGAAATAATTTTTAAGTGTTTATATTAATACAAAAAGTATTTCTTTCAGGGTAACGCAAACTGCCAGTATATGAATTTGTCATAAATTATGCTTTTTATTCTACTCTTATGTTATATGTTTTCTTATATGTTCGAAATGAGGCAAATTTATTATCTTGGATTGATAATTATTATATTTATCATTTGATGAAATATAATGTCCATATGTCAAAAAGGAAAGTGATAAGTGTTGTTCCATGATATACTTATGTTATGTGAAAATGGGATATTAAGGGTATGAACTACCATATGGACATTTATATGATATTTGATATGTTAGTGGTCGTGTTGTGAGTACTATAAATTAAATGTAAATAATGTGCAAGTATACACAATCGCTCAAGTAAATATACCATTAAAAATAAAGTTCAAACAACCATTAAATCAACCACCACCAAATAAGTTAGTTCATGGTGGGGTTCAAAATATCCAAACACAAAGTCATGAAAATATTTGTTCCAACAACCCACAAATAAATATAAAATAGCAGCAAAAAGGGAAGTTTAGAAGAAGCCTTCGACGCGCCACCGGAGGTCTCCTCTTGGCCACCGTGAACCACCTAGCTCGCTAGCTCCTTTCAGCTTCTAGCTCGCCACTCCTTGGAGCTTTATCAATGGAGGAATATCCCAAGGAAGAAGAAGGGAAAAGGGAAAATAAAAATCTGATTTTTGCTACCGTATGTGTCCTCCTCTCCTCCTTTTTTTCCACGAGGTGTCATATATAATAAAACAAATATCTAGGGGTAATGATGAGGTTGTTGGGTGCAAAATACCCCTCATACCCCTAGAATCACATGTTGAGTGTGAACCTAATCCTCCAAGTGGCAGTGGTCCTTTGGCAGCTCTGGCAGGCGATTACAGCAGTCCTTCACGTGCAGAGACAGCTGTCCAGTGCCAGCTGTCCTTATGCAGAAATATTTTTTTCTTTTTCTACGCCGGAATGCCAAGGAATTTCAATCTTCTTTAGCAACGTGTGATGCCGCGTTATTACTTCCCAAAGAATCCTTTTTTTCTTGCTATTCCCTGCACACCACAAACAAACTGCACCTTTCCCTCAAATAGCACCATTAAGAAATAAAATAGCACAACCACCACAAATGCACTATATGCAACTACATGATCCTAAAATGCCTAAAATGACATTTTAAACAAACAATAACTTAAGTGAAAAAGGCCTTAAAAGTAGCCTTTTTATGAAGTTAACACACCCCAAACTTAAGCTATTGCTTGTCCTCAAGTAATGGATAGCAGTTACATAAGCAGAATGTCATGGCAATTTTCTACAGTAGGGCGTAGGACAAATTGAATTTTAACCCTAAAAAAATAAGCTTCAACATGCTAGACTTATCAAGAATTCAAGTACTTTTCCCTAGGTCAAGATCCCTTGTGGTAGTGTGTGTGCGTGATTGTATCCAATCTATACTTAGCAAACTTAGACTATTTCTAATTAAGCCTCCTAGTTTTTTGCCAAGGCATTTACTTATTCATCAAGCACATTTTTACTCCCTTTTCTTTTATTTTTTTTTAATGCTGTTACGAAGGGAGTCAGCTCATCACACCTACTCTCCCACACTCTAGATGAAAGGGAGCATACCTTTCACCCTGAGCTAGTTAAGTAGATTCATCCGTGACTACTTTCATTCACTCATATGCATAAGGCTGCCATTTATTAAAGAAAGTTCCAGGCAATGCCATGGCAAAGAGGAGTGTCCCTCTACAGCTATGCCTAAGCATTTATTCACAGTTTCATTTTTAAGGGAGTTTGTTTTTTATTTTTCTTTTAAGCACAAAACTATATTTCAATGCCAAAACTAACTAGTGTTTTTTCATAAAAATTTTCTGAATTTTCTAAGTATAGATAACATACAAATCGTGTAAAAGTTTTTCACAAAAAATCAAGCCCTAGAGTGAGTTCTATCATTCTCAACAGTCATTTACATTCAGATTCTAGCCTAACATTATCATCATCGGGTATCCTCAAAACATTTCATCTAACTGTCCTACCATTTTCTGATGTCATGGCATAAACCTATGTTAATGCTATCATGCATATGACCTACCAAGAACCATACCTCCCCCAAACTTAAGGGAAGCATTATCCTCAATGCTGAAAGAGAACAAAATGAAATAAAAATTAAATGCCAAGCAATGAAATGAAACTAAATGAAAATGGATGCAAGAGAGGTACCTCAATGTTTACATGGTGGTGTTGCCTTGGAGGTCCTAGCAGCTCCTCGTCGGGTGCACTTACGTATTGGTGCTGGGCTGGACTTGGAAGAACTGGAGTAATGACACGCAATGCGTCCAGCCGTGGTCTTGGTGCATTGACCACTACGTGGTGTAGGAGAATGATTGGGTGCTGGGACAGGGCTGGGTGTTTCTTCGACAGGGACAGTGACCGGATACTCAGAAGTTTCGGAACGGTGCGGGAGGATCGGCTGCATCTTGTTCGGGCTTTGCAGATGCCTCAACATTAAATGCCGGCAGAATTTCGTATGGGAAGCCAGGGAAATTCCATTGACCGTGGGGAATAATTTCTTGGAACATTGATTCCACCTCAGTATCTCTATGCTTCACGTATCCAAAGAATTTACGGATGTCACCGTGTAAAGCATGCAGGTGTGTCTGAGTCTGCATCACAGCTTCCTCGAGAGTAAGTAACCATGCCTCGGCATTTGATTGTGTAGTACCTGCAGATTGCTCGTGAACAGATTCTTTAGATTTAGGATTTTCAAGTCCTAATAGCAATGGAAGTCTGGCTCTAGTGATGCCCGATAAACCAGGTAAAATTTCATCAAAAGCATTTTCCTCAACTTTTTTCTTACGACATAAAGCGGTAATTAAGTTAGGAAACACCAAAGCACTTACCTTTTTACCCAAACAGTCGTTAACTTGCTGAACAATAATATGACCCACATCGATCGGACGGGATTCCATTATAGAATATAAAAGTAATAAGCGTGAAAGTGATACCGTCGTGTTGTGAGAAGTCGGCATGAGTTTATGCTTAAGGAAGTGATTCCATAACTTGGCGCGCGACTGAAGACGTTCTCGGTTGACTGAGTATCGACTCGTTTGACGCCCATTCCACTCAGTGTTTTCAAAACAAAGGTCCTCCAAGACCCCATCGTATGTGTTGCTATCAGCCTCTTCTTCGAACTTGGCATGGTTATCCACAACATCCTGCAAATGAAAATAATGATTAATAGCAGAAGGTTTAAAACGGATCTGCTGACCTCGAACGATGATGGAGTGTTAGTTGGTCTTGGAAATATTCACGTAGAACTCCTTAACCACCGAGGCATTCACCGAACCAGGATGACGGGTAAATTTCTTCCACTTGAGCGGTGTCACGATGTCCAGAACATCGGGTCCAAAACCACCATCAGTTTCCTCGGTAAAAATAAATCCTAACTCAAAAAAGAGTTTTCAGTTCTTGAAGTTTTGGAACCGAGCCTTGGCCTCGTCATCTTCGAACTGTTGCCAAGCGGTAGTGTCGGTTAGAGCCGGTCTTGAACGCACCATTTTCGTGTGTATATGAAGCAAGAAAAATGATAAAGGAAGAAACTTTTGAAAGCTTTAAAAACTTGGATGTATTTTGTCTATGGAGAGAATAAAAAAAGAAGAAGATGAATGAAGGAAAGAGAAAAAGTAAAAGTTAAAATGAAAGAGAAAAAATTAATAAAGAAAGAAAAGAAAAAGTTAAAAATTTAATAGGGAAAATGTGTGAGAGGATGGTTAAGAGAGGAGTGAGTGGGTGGGGGTTTGTGCGTGCATGGAGAAGGAAAAAAAACTATCAAAAGGTAATGATGGTGATAGGACAGTCTGTGGAAAGAGAAAAACAAATGTCAGAAATTAAATTAAATAAAAAAAACAAATTAAAATAATATCTCTCCAATTAATGCATTGTCCTTTCCTCCCTTTGGTAACCGCTCCTTGGGCGGTTTGCACCACTGTGGTCCCTACAAATCATATCAAAAATTAATTACAAAATAAAAATAAAAATAAAGAAAATCTTAAATTTTAAATTTTTATTTATGCACAGACACAAATTCAATGTCGTGGCATCGAATTTTGGTTCTCCTCTGGCACGCTTCAGTATCGTGCAGACGTAACACATCCTTGTTGTGTGGTGGTGGAACTCTATTGTAGGCTTTCAGACGCTGGCCATTGACCTTGAAGATCGTCCCATTGTCTATTCTCTTGATGTCAACAGCTCCATGGGGATAGACATAATGCACCTCAAATGGTCCTGACCATCGAGATTTGAGTTTCCCAGGAAAGAGTTTGAGTCTGGAGTTGTAAAGCAAGACTTGTTGCCCCTCATGAAAATGCCATAGCATCAGTTTCTGGTCATGCCACTTAAAGGGTGACATCTCCAAAGGAGTCTTAAATGCCGAGCATTCTCATATGCTTGTTCCCTAAACTCTTCCATTTCGTTAAGTTCAAGTAATCTCTGCTCCCCAGCTAGTTGAGCATCGAAATTCAATCGCTTGATGGCCCAATAAGCTTTGTGTTCAAGCTCAACCGGGAGATGACAAGCTTTACCATACACCAACTTAAAGGGTGACATCCCCAAAGGAGTCTTGAATGCAGTTCTGTACGCCCAAAGTGCTTCATCCAACTTTGGTGACCAATCCTTACGCCTTGGGTTCACCAGTTGCTTCATAACAGGGTTGAGTCTTCTTTGTGGTTCTATTGAATTGCCGTGGCAATCTTCAAGCAGAATCTTGTACATGCAGATCGTGGGACTTATGCCTTTCAAATCGGTCATAGTCCAACCAATTGCTTTTTTATGCTGCATCAACACACTTAACAAACTTTGCTCCTGATTAGCGGTAAGGTTAGCGGAAATAATCATCAGTAAAGTCTCATTGCTACCTAAGTATACATATTTAAGATGCCCTAGCAAAGTCTTAAGCTCTAGAGTGGGTGCATGCATTAATGAAGGCTTAGGAGGAATAAATTAATCAAAATTTAGAGGTTCAAAATTCATACATGATCTAGCTTATAGTAAGCTAGATTGTTCCTCCAACATTGGAAAGTTGTCGGACTCCACTAAGCTTTCATCATCCACCCAATATTCATTTTCTGCTAGCTGAATAAAATTGTTCTGGAAAAGATGTTCAGTCTCTTCTTCAATCACTGAGTTTAATTCAGAAATGTCTTGGCATTCTTCAGTGTCATCAACATATTTGAGCGTTCGAAAAAATATTGACAGTCACACACTGATCAACCACTCTCATGGTGAGTTCACCTTTTTCAGAGTCTATCAAGATACATCCAGTGGCTAGGAAAGGTCTTCCCAGAATGATTGGTGCCTTGGCATCAACTTCGCTGTCCAGAATTAAGAAGTCGACTGGAAACACAAACTTATCCACCCTTACTATGACATCCTCAACTCTCCCTTCAGGTTTCACATGGGATCTGTTGGCAAGTTGTAAAATAACTGAGGTGGGTCTTGCATCTCCTATGCCAAGCTTCAAGAATATCGATTTTGGAATTAAGTTGACACTTGAACCAAGATCACACAGAGCCTTTCCAACGAAATTATCTCCAATTGAACAAGGAATAATGAAGCTTCCCGGATCATTTCTCTTTAGCGACAACTTACTCAAAGAATAACAAAATTATGTTGTCGTGGCAACAGTCTCTACTTTCCTCTTCTTGGTACATATTTCCTTTAGAAATTTGGCATACATCGGCATCTGTTCAACAGCTTCAAAGAGAGGTATGTTGATATGGAGCTAATCAAGAATGTCCATGAACTTCTTGAACTGAACTTCATCATTATGCTTCTTCAATCTTTGCGGGAAGGGTGAGGGAGGTCTAGCTTCCTTAGCTACAGGAATAGAATTTGCTTTTGCCTTGGCATCAGAATCTGGTATCTTAGCATAATCCTCCTCCTTGTCCTTCTCAGTAACTCTATCATCATGTAATTCAACTTCAGTAGTAGGATTAGAATCATCATGTTGTGGCCCACTATCCTTGTCTTGTCGATTGATTTGTGTTCCACTCCTAAGAGTTAACACATTGCAGTGCTCTAGTGACTTCAGTATCACTTGAAAAACATCCTTGCTAACGGTGTTGCAATGCCGTAGCAATCTGACCAACTTGACCTTCCAAAGCTCTCAGAGACGAGCTATGGCTTTGAATTAAGGCGCCTTGACTATGAAGTAAAGCTCCTTGATTCTTAATTGAAGTAGAATGGTCTTGCAGCATTGTCTTCGTAGTGGATATGAACTCTTGAATTGTAGCTTCCAATGAACTCATGCTTGCTGAAGATGAAGCTCCTTTGTTGGAATTATGCCATGGCATAGCACTTTGGTAACCTTGAGGCTCATTGTGATTCTGCTGCCGAGTAGGTTGATTAACATTGTGGGCTCCTTGATTTCCCCATGAAAAATTGGGATGCTGACGCCATCCAGCATTATAAGAGTTAGAATAGGGATTGTTGTTACCTCGATTGTAATTACCTACAAAGTTGATGGACTCATGGTTGGTTGGGCATTCGCTCTCGTGATGATTGCCTTGGCATAACAGACATGCCAGGCTAGTTGCTTTCATTTCCTTCACATCAGTGGAACGTTGTAAGTTCTTCAATATATTAGTGATGGTTGAGAGTTGAGCGGACACCGAATCCTTAGTATCTAACTCAAATGCTCCAGGTGTTCTCCTTCCACTCCAAAGCCTTGAGGAAGGAAACTGATAATCATTATTAGCAATTATGTCCAATATAGCAAATGCCTCAGTAGGTGATTTATCCAGCAATGTCCTATTTGCCGAGGCATACAGTAACATCCTCGTGGGTGCATTGACTCCATTATAGAACATGACTACTTGAGTCCAATCATGAAAACCATGATTTGAACACTTCCGAAGAAAACTCTTGTAACGATCCCAACAGTCATATATGGATTCGTCGTCGCCCTGGCAAAAAGAAGATATTTCATTCCTTAGTTGCGTATTCTTATTTGGTGGGTTGTACCTCAATAAAAAAACTCTTACAAAGATCAACCCATGATTCCATAGAACCGGCTGGTACACCACTCAACCAATCCCTTGCTCGGTCACAAAATGAATATGAAAAAAGCTTTAATTTAAGAAAATCCTCATGCACTCCTTCTTGGCGAAAAGAATCACAAACTTCCACAAAATTGCGAATGTGTTGCCGGGCATCTTCAGTTGGCATACCCCCAAACTGCCCAATAGAATTCAACATGTTGAACTTGACTGGTTTTAGCTTGAAATGTGCAGCTTGAATTTCAGGAGCCACAATCCCAGGATTCAGATCATCTAGCGTCGGATTTAAGTGATCGCAAATAGTGTGCGGCATAACAGCAGGATCAGTATTGTCTAATACCACGGCATTATGATTTCCATCATCCTGACCAATGCTTTGGTTTCCAATTTGATACATATTTCTTTTAACACGTCTTCTTCTTCTAAAGAGTCTTTCAATCTCAGGTTCTATTGGTTCCAAAGGCTCTTCAGAATTTCTTCTAGGCATACACTAGATAAACCTACAAATAAAGCAAAAATATCAAGTAAACTATACACAAATAAAAATGCAAAACAAAATAAAATGATCTGGCAGAACTAAATAACTTCAGGCTGTCAATCCCCAACAACGGCGCCAAAAACGTGGTCGCGTGTTGAGAGTACTATAAATTAAACGCAAATAATATGCGAGTATACATAATCTCTCAAGTAATATAATGATGAGTGAGTATCGTCTCCACAGGGATTGGGTGAAATTACAAAAGTCTAACCAAAGCAATGCACTATTCTATCTAAGTATAGTTAGTCTTGATATATACAAATGTCACGGCAATGTAAATGTGTATGCTGGTGGATATGTAGTGATGGTCTGATGGTGTAGCAAATGGAAATGCAATGGCAATGATGGATGTCTGATGTTGAGTATGGTTAAATGTCAAGGAAATGAAAAATGGTAAAAACAGTAAATAAAATGAAAACAAAATGAAAAGAAAATAATCCTCACGTGACAAGCTTCCAAGAGAATGAATGGTAGGGATTGATCTACGGATGCTAAACTTATTTCTCAAGTATATTTAAGCTAATTGGTCTTTACTTACTCGACAGGGCTTTCCTAAAGTGTTCTAAAAAACCTAACAGAATAGGATGCCAAGGCATCTGCTCTCACTCAACGATGTTGGACAGCCTACCCTATTGATAAAGACACCCTTTTTAGTCGTTGAAATCCTATCCTAGTCTCTTCCGAGATCTAAGGGATTAGATTATAATACTCCTAGGCCGGTTCAAAGCCCCTTGAAAAATACTATAATCCATTGCTTATGAGGATTTTATCTTGCGTTTCTTCCGAATACTTACAAGTATTTTTAGTCTAGGATTCTTCCGAATACCTAACCTTCATCTAAGAAATGGACATTTCCATGCCTCTTACAAGCCTAGATGGTGAAGCATTCATAAGCAAGCAAATAAAGAACCAAAATAAACTTAAATATACCATTAAAAATAAAGTCCAAACAACCATTAAATCAACCACCACCAAATAAGTTAGTTCATGGTGGGGTTCAAAATATCCAAACACAAATTCATGAAAATATTTGTTCCAACAACCCACAAATAAATATAAAATAGCAGCAAAAAGAGAAGTTGAGAAGAAGCCTTCGACGCGCCACCGGAGGTCTCCTCTCGGCCACCGTGAACCACCTAGCTCGCTAGCTCCTTTCGGCTCCTAGCTCACCACTCATTGGAGCTTTATCAATGGAGGAATATCCCAAGGAAGAAGAAGGGAAAAGGAAAAATAAAAATCTGATTTTTTCTACCTTATGTGTCCTCCTCTCCTCATTCTTTTCCATGAGGTGTCATATATAATAAAAAAAATATCTAGGGGTAATGATGAGGTTGTTGGGTGCAAAATACCCCTCATACCCCTAGAATCACATGTTGGGTGTGAACCTTATCCTCCAAGTGGCAGTGGTCCTTTGCAAGCTCTGGCAGGCGGTTACAGCAGTCCTTCACGTGCAGAGACAACTGTCTAGTGCCAGCTGTCCTTATGTAGAAATATTTTTTTTCTTTTTCTACGTCAGAAATGCCAAGGCATTTCAATCTGATGTCGCGGCACTACTTCCCAAAGAATACTTTTTTCTTGCTATTCCCTACACACCACAAACAGACTGCACCTTTCCCTCAAACAGCACCATTAAGAAATAAAATAGCACAACCACTACAAATGCACTATATACAACTACATGATCCTAAAATGAGCTTTTAAACAAACAATAACTTAAGTGAAAAATGCCTTAAAAGTAGCCTTTTTATGAAGTTAACAGTTAGTATCTACGGATACTCCTGATAAATGAATGGTATATGATTCTGATATAAAATCTCATTGTATGTGCATTGAGATTCTTTGTTACAATTAACATGTCATGAAGTGGAGTGGTTATCAATCGATCTTGTTTAGTACCTTTGTGTACTCCAGTATTAGTGCATTTTTTGCACTCCTGTTTTAGTGCCTTGTTGCACTCCAACAATAGTGCATTGGTGCACTCCTATATTATTACCTATGTGTACTCCTGTATAAATGCATATGTGCACTATTGTGTTAGTATCTTTGAGTACTCCTGTGTTAGTACATTCGTGTACTCCTCGTACTATATGTGCAATTATGGTGTTCATGACATGTGAACTACCATCCCGATTATTAGTATAGTGATATTGTGTTATACAATACCTATGCTCATGTATATCACGTAAAGTGAATATGATATATGTGGCAGTTTGACTACATATTGTGGACACTCGACTGACTCATATACCATGCATTCTCATTTGATATACACTAGGCTATGATTAAAATATGTGAAAAGTCCATGTTATACGACTTGATTATGAATAAGTACATACTATGAACTGAATAAATATGACATGTACAAATTATGTGTTTTCAATGAAAGCACATGTCATTTTGAATACTTGGTTTGACATAATATGCCTTATAAATGAAATGTTGATGTTATACATTATGATGAAAGAAATAACTTTAATAAGTCTAATTTACAAGTTCATATATGTTATATGATACTTTGGTTATTGTGATATTTCATTTGTTGATATGCCTTATTTTGTTTTATATGGTTATGAAATTGCCTCACTAAGTGTATACTTAGCGTGTGATGATTTTCACACATAGATATAATAAAGAAAATGGAGTAAGGGGTTGAGCTTGGCATCAATCATCTAAGACTACTTGTTGGTATCAGTAATGGCATCCTATTGTAGTTTTAATTTATATTTGGCATGCATACGCGTAGAAAGAGTTTGTAATATTTTTAAATATTACTTTTCAATTTTACATGATTAAATTATTTATGTTAAATGGCATGATTTCTAAAGAAAATTTTTTTTACCATTTTTTGAATGTAGATTGTTCTTAAATGTTTTGTGACATCTCTGACTCATGTTTGGGGATGGATATGGGAAAGGGGTATTACATTTCTTATCCAAAATTATTCCCCACAAAAATCTATCTTCAGTGAGCCATGGCTGCCTAACCCCATCGCGGGGAAGTGTAATAGTAATTTGAGGGAGCATTGTCGTGTGGCAGTGGTGATCAAGAAGATTCTACTCTATCTTTTTTTCTTCGATTGAGATAGAGAAGTGTCAATTTAGAGTTGAATGTTTATCTTAATTTTTAATGTTACTTGGTTTTGAACACTATGTGTTTGTTTAATTGCTTTTTATTATGTTATATGCTTAGACTTAATTTTCATGTGATGCCGAACTTATGAGATAATTTTATAAATAAAATTATCTTTATGTATGGATCCTCTCTGATTTTTAGAAATAAAAGTTATGGATGTTTCATACAACTTTTGATCATCATTGGTATTTGTGAAAAGCAAATTTAGTTTGATGAGATGTGTGTTGCCAATTTTCATGCATTGTTAATTATTTAGTTACTTTGATCAATGAGGATTGATTCCAGTTAATTAAATATTGTTAATCACATAAGTATACTATTTTAAGAATAAATATAATAGAAACTACCATATAGCATATGTATCCATTTAATCCTTGATGTGATGTACTTCTGAATGTTGTAGTACTCCCTGACATCCACCATTCTGATTTACCTATTTTCTATTTACCTTTTATTTCAACATTTCAACCATATAACTCTTGACACTTGCCATGCAACTCCTTTGAAACATGTTTTTCTCTATTTGGGTTCGACATCCAAAACTTATATAGCTTCCACTTTACTACTTGAACAAGATAATGTATACTTGCACTTTGATTTAGCATTATCATAGCATCAAGTTTTTGGCGTCGTTATTGGGGAGCAAGGGTAGTTCATTATAGTTTTTTCTTCTTATCTTCACTTATTTCTTTCATTTTTAATTTGTAGGTATATTTTTTCACTTCAGATTGTTAGTGCATGTACCACCAAAACGATCTTTATTTGGAACCTTTTGATCCTGAAATTGAATGAACATTTCATCAACATCAAAGAAAATCAAATCATAATTGAGAAAATATGAATAGTGATGGTAAGCATGCTTTACCACCACATCCATAAGGTGAGGAAGAATAATTGGCTGTAAATGGGCTCAACCAGTAACAATTTTATAATATCAATAATAGAAATCGACCAATACGAGAGCATGTGGGGTTGATCTTAGGCGATTTGAATCTTGACATCGTGAGGCCTTCCATCCATGCTGCCTACTTTGAGCTGAAGACGGTGATGTTTCAAATGTTGTAGTCAATGGGGTAGTATAACGATTCATTTACTTAAGATCTAGAGCACACCTTAGAGCATTCATAGAGGTGTGGCTCTTTCGTACTGTAAGGAGTACCCTAGGAAGCCTTGAAGTTGAAGTTGTTTCCATACCCTATTCGTGACAAAGCTAAATCAGGGCTCAAATCGTAGTCGCCTTATGCTTCAACATCATGGAATAAATTGGCACAAAATTATATTTCAAGCTTGCCAACATGAATTACAAGTTGAGGAATGATCTCACATTATTCAATCAATTGAGGGATGAGAACCTTATGAAGCTTGGGAGCATTTCAAGGATTTGCTGTATAAATGCATGATTCATGGTTTCCCATATTGGACGCAAATGGAGATTTTTTTATAATGGATTAAATATCCAAACAGATATGGTTGTTGATTCTTTTGTCAATGGAGCATTGTTGGTTAAAACCTATAATAAAGCTTATGACACTTTGGAGATGATATCCAACAACAATTACCAATACCCCAATACAAGGAACATGTTTGGCAGACGCAATGCCGCAACCATGGATAATGACGCTTTCAAATCAATGGCTTCTCAAATAACAAAACTGACTGAGAGGTAAAGAAACAATATAAATCGGCAGGTATGTATAAAGTAAAAGTTTCATCTCTTATCTCTTGTGGTGATGATCATAACTTTGAATAATCCCCGTAAAACCCCGAATATGTATACTTTTTAAGAAATTACAATAGGAATGACAATGGAAATGCCTATGGGAACACCTATAATGCCAACTTTCGAAACCATCTTAATTTATCTTAGAATAGTCAAAAGGTTACAAACCTTAATATGACGTTTCAATCAAATTATGGAAATATGCAACAACATTACCAACCACAACAACAATACAATCAGCAACAGATGATTTATTCCTTGTATTATTGGTGATCAATTTTTAAGGTGCTAGAATTAATCTTATGTCATTGTCAATTTTTAGGAAATTTGGAAGTGGATAAGTACGACCAACCCTCGTCACTTTACAACTTGTCGACCGCTCCACTGTACATCCAGTGGCATCGTTGGAACATAATAGTCTGAGTAAACAATTTAATTTTTCCACCAATTTTATCATATTGGATTGCGAAGCCAACAATGATGTCCCAATTATACTTGGTCGACCCTTCTTTTCCAATGGTAGAGCATTGATCAGTGTTGAAAAGGAAGAACATACTATGCACTTAAATGGTGAACACATTACATTCAATGTTTTGAACAATGTTTCATACATAGATTACAATGTTGATTATTATTCAATTGATGTTGTTGATGTTTTTTGTAAAGTAATATTGGGATAAATGCCACATCAAATATGTTGCTACAAGTAATTATATGACAGTAGAGAAGCTAGTCGAGAATGAAGAGGTTGAAGGAAATTATGTCCAACGCTTTGAATCATTAGATCTTTCCAACTGGCCTAGTCAAACTTCTAGACCCTTAATTGAATAGCCACCAACACTTGAATCAAAACTCCTGCCCAAGCAGTTGAAGTATGTATTTCTAGGGGAAGTAGAGACTTTTCCTGTTTTTATTGCAGCAAAGCTCAAAGCATCATAAGAAGAAAAATTGCTTGTTGGTCTAAAGTAACAAAAGCGAGCAATTTCTTGGAGCATTACTGATATTAAAGGCATCAACCCAATCATTTGTATGCATAAAATCTTGATAGAGGATCCCAACATTAGTACCATTGAGAAGCAAAGAAAATGGTTAGAAATGAGATCATCAAGTGGCTAGATGTTAGATTCATTTACCCTATTTCTAATAGCAATTGGCTAACCCATGTTTAATGTGTTCCAAAGAAGGGCATCATCATTGTGTTATCTAATGAGAAGAATGAATTAGTTTCTACACATAACTACAGACTGGCACCTTTGTATGGACTATAGAACGTTGAACAAAACTACAAGAAATGATCATTTCCCTTTGTTGTTTATTGATCAAATATTGTATAGGTTAGCTAGAAATGCCTTTTACTATTTATTTAATGGGTATAGTGCATATAATCAAATAACAATAGCACTTGAAGACCAAGAAAATACTACTTTCACTTGTCCTTGTGGAATATTTTTTTCGATGAATGCATTTTTGTCTATGCAATGCTCTGGTAACATTCTAGCATTGCATGATGGCTATTTTATTCGAGATGATTGAGAACTTTCTTGGGGTATCTATGGATGAATTTTCAGTTTTTGATTAAAGTGTATATCAATGCCTTACCAATTTGTCCACTGATGTGAATAGACTAATTTGGTGTTGAATTAACATAAATGCTAATTTGGCCATCACATTTCTCATCGCGGCATTGAAGAAGACAAAGCTAAAGTAGAAGTGATTGAGAAGTTTTCACCCCACCAATGTGAAAGTAGTGAGGAGTTTCATAGGACATGCTAGATTTTATCGAAGATTTATCAAGCATTTTCCCAAAATTGCCATGCCATTATGTTAATTGGTAGAGCAAACTTGGAAATCCGTTGGTGATGATGAAGTGATAAAGTCTTTTGAAATGATCAAGTCAGAGTTGGTCAATTCTTCTATTGTAGTGGCACTAGATTGGAGTCTTTCATTCGAACTAATGTGTGATGCTAGTGACCATATTATTGGTGCAGTGATGGGCGAAGAAAAGAAAAAAAAATTCAGGGTGTACATTATGTTAGTAGAACATTGAATGATGCTTAAGTCAATTATATAAAAAAATGAGAAAGAATTACTCGTTGTTGTGTTTAATTTTTTTTATAAGTTTAGGTCTTATTTAGTAGGAACCAGGAAAATTGTCTACACATATCACGCAGCATTGAAGCATATCTTTACCAAAAAAGACACCAAGCCAAGGCTTATACGATGGGTGTTGTTGCTTAAGTAATTTGATCTTATAGTAAGAGATAAGAAAGGCTCCGAGAATCAAGTGTTTGATCATTTATTTTGCTTGGAAACTGGTAGTGAAGATGGCAAAATAGTAGTGATTTCTGATCATTTTCCCAATGAAGAACTTCTTGGTATTGAGGAATTGCCTTGGTACATGGACTTTGTCAATTATTTAGTAAGTGGTATGCTGCCACCTGGCCCCAATTACGAAGAAAGAAAGAAATTCTTACAAGTTATTTGAGCATATCAATGGGAAGAGCCATAGCTGTTCAAGCAATACAATAGCCAAATTCTACGATGATGTGTCCTCGAATATGAGAAACAAAGCATTTTGCATCATTATCACAATGCACCTTATGGGGGTCATTTTGGAGGCATGCGTACGACAGAAAAAGTTCTTCAATGTGGTTATTATTGGCCATCATTGTTCAAGGATGCAAATGAATTTGTCAAGCATTGTGATTTTTGTTAAAGAACTAGCAATATTTCTAACCACAATGAAATGTCAATAAGCCTATATTAGAGATAGAATTATTTGATGGTTAGGGGTTGGACTTCATGGACCTTGTTCATTATCTTGTGGTAATCTTTTTATCCTGGTAGTTGTTGACTATGTGTCCAAGTGGGTTGAAGTTGTAGAATTACCTTCAAGTGACGCTAAGCCAGTTTTAAGATTTCTCCACAAGAATATATTTACTCTTTGTGGAACACCTAGGGAATTCATTAGTGATAAGGGTTCACAATTTATAGGCTAGCAAGTTGACAATGCTTTTGCAACGTTATGGAGTGAAGCATCACATTGCTACATCATACAATACTCAAACCAATGATCAAGTCAAGGTCTCCAATCGTGAAATTAAGAAAATTTTGGAGAAGGCTGTAAATCCTTTAAGGAAAGATTGGTCTTTGTGCCTTGATGAAGTATTATCGGTATATAGGACAACATATAAAACCCTATTAGTTATGTCTTTGTATCACCATATAGATGGTAAAGCTTACCATCTACTCGCGGAGTTGGAGTATAAAACAATGTGGGCTTTGAACAAGTTAAACTTCAACCTTGATGCTACTGGTGAAAAACTAAAGCTGGATCTTAGTGAATTGGAAGAGCTTCTTTATTACGCCAAATTTTGGTTAGTGACCAAAATGTAAATTTTGAAAGATTTATGGCAAATTATTAATTTTAGAAAAGTTTAGGGACAAAAAATATAATTTTAAAAGTTATATATTTTGGCATGTCAATGAATAGCTTATTCCAAAATTGACGTTTTCTTGAGTATCAAACTTTTGATTCAGGATTCATATTAAAAGCTATAAAGAAGTAAAGTGTGACAGGAATTCAGATATTCGTATTAAATCAGAATTTCTCAAAAATTTGAAGGATGATGGAAAAGGGTTATAAATATTATTTCCATAATTTATAATAGTAAAATTTAATATGGATCAATAGAATTAAGGTTGATTTTTCATGTTAATCTGAAATAGTAAAATTTGGTGACTAAATTATAATTTTCAATAATTGCTAAGGATAGAGGTGGAAAGTAATTTTTTGTTGGTTAATATTTGACTTTTGAAAATTAAAATGGAATATATTTCAATGCCAAGTTGAAATTATCATGTTTCATTAAGGATAAAATGATAATTTCACATTAATTGAATTTTAAATTTAATTATATTAGATTAAAGCCATGTGTATTAAGTTATAATTGTAGAAAATTCATGAGAAAAATCAGTATCTTCTTCTCTAACCAGATGTGAACTCCATAGCTAGGTAAGAGAGATTTTTTTATTTGATTTTTAAGCTTAATCGATTGATTTTTTGGATTAAGTTAGTAGATAGGGAATTAATCTAATTGAAATTCTCTATCATTTGGTATACTTGGTGTAATACTCTGAATTCCAGGTTAATAGTTTAAGTCAACTTGAGACCCACAAGTGGAGCCCAATAAATCTCCTACATTAGTTTAGACCTTTTCAAAAGGGTATTGGGCTTAAATTTAGCACAATAGTATAGGAGAATTGATGATTTTAAATAGGAGATAAAAGAAAGGGGCCAAATTAGAAATTTACCCATAGTAAATTTTAAATGATAAAAACTTCTTAGCCTTAGTGTTTTCGCATGAATCTAAACCTACCAAAATATGTTCCTTTCTCCTCTTCATTTCTCTATTCATTTTCTTCCCAAGAGAAAGCTTGAAGGTGGAAGCTTTTCAAATTCCAAACCTAGTTAGAAGTAATCAAGGTAAGAGTCTTAATCACTATCCTCAAGCTTCATTTAAAGCCTCAAAATCTCGAGTTTTGGGTAATATTTCTGATTGCTTGTTAATGTATATGCTAAGGTAAGCAAATCTGTGCAAATGTACACAATCAATGCAAGTAGTACAGTAGTAAGTTGAGTATCGTCTCCACATGGATTGGTGGGAATTTTTGATGTTTTGTTGCAGCT